ACACAGTTTTTTTAAACTGTCTGACTCCAATGAGAGGGGCCTTCTCTCAAAATGTAAGCAGACTATCATAAAAACTGGAATTTTGTAATGTAGGGCTCCCAAGATTGCTGCTAAAATGGGAAGAAAACTTGAAATTCAGAGACAATCACAGAGAAAATAAATACGACAAAAACAGCTGTAAAACAGGCTTGAGGAGGAAATATTTTTTTAAAGGACCATATTCAGTTGAAACAAAAAAGCATAGCAAAACATTCAGCAGTCTTCATGTAGTAGAAAAGTTAAAGACTTGGGACCAGCAGTTGGCATAATGGCTATGTCGCTGTACTCCCACATAGTTAACTGAAGTTCAAGCCCCAGACTCGGTGACTTAAACTCACACTGGGCGTGTGTATGTGCATGCCCAAGATCCCGAGAGGAGAAGGGATTGTGGCATGGCCATTCCCCCTGAGGAGTGATTTCTCACTCTCTGTCTTTCTGGCGAGTGCATGTGGCCTATAACAAAAATCTCTCCAAAAAAATTAATAATAAAGAAAGGAAAAAGAAAAGTTAATGACTTATCAATGTGGAAGAAAAGCCATACATTGAAAACTTAGTTTTATTTAAATTGATTTCCTTGATGTAGCTTGATATCTGAATTTATATCTATTTTATTAAAGGTTTTTTTAAAATACCAACATAAAACATCTCCCCCATTATTTGAGAACTAGCTATCCCTTAACAATCCAAAAACATCATCCTAATTCAATGATAAGCCATCCATTTTATGATATAATTAAGAATTAAACTATATGTAAGAACTGGTCATCTCCAAAAAACAGAAACAAGATCCACCAATCTTAAATAATTAGAATATTATTTTAAATACAAGAGCCTCTCTAATACACGTGCAAACATCGCTCCATGCCTAGACACTTACCATCTGTCAGTGCTCAGTGTCAGCCGAGTCTTCCGTTGCCTGGCACCTCCCGACAGCCAAAGCCAGGACTGAAGAGGGGCTGGATTCCCCTCACTCTGTGTGTGCATAAGCCGCCAAGCTATGGGCCAGCAGGTCTGACTACTTAAAATTAATTACCTCATTCCAGAGACCGTCCACCACATACAGGAGCTGGAAACTGTTAACCAAGACCATTGCCAAGGATGGAGCAGTGCGGTGCTGTGATTTCATCTCAGCCAAAAGTAGCACCAAGTTAATGAGCACCTGGAATAAAGGAGGGGTGTGGCCTTAGGTACCTCCTCAGGGGTACTCCCACTGTAAAGGCAGGACGCTTCACAGCTGAGAAACCTGCAGGCGTCACCTTGATCATGACCTCACACTCAGAGTAAGACACCCTAACACCACCAACGCCTGGATAGGATGTACTGAGACAGATGCAACGCCATTTCTGAGATACTCCTATGAAAAATGCAGGACTCCACTCCGGTCATAAAAATACACTGACCCAGCTCAAACCAGGGACACTTAAACAAAATAACCAGTACTCTTCAAAAAGTTTAAGCAGACTAGAGACTAAGGAGAAATAACAACTACACGTGCTGTGGGATCCTACGAAGGATACTGGAACAGAAAAGGACAACAGCAGAAAAAGTGGTAAAACTCAAATAAGGTCTGTGGATTGGGTTGTTTATACAGTAGCAATGTAATTCCCATTCTTGATCACTACACCATGGTTACAGCAGAGGTCAGCACTGTAAGAGGTGGAGTGAAGGGTGTAAACAAACTCTGCTCTGTTTCTGCAACTGTCCTGCTCCTCTAAAACTAGGCCAGAATTTTGACCGGAAGAGAGGAGAAAAATACCTTTTTTCTTATATTAACTTACCCATACTATCACTTTCCTACAAAAGTATAAGCTGATACAATAAAAATAAACAAACAAAAAAACTCTTTAATATTTAATAACTCATAACAGGGCATCTTAAAACTTTGAAAAACAATTACAGTGAGAACAGTTTTTAAGTAGGTTTATAGAAAGCCATAATTATTCCTAAAAATGTATTACCACCTACTGTTTTAAAATTATCTACATTTCTTTCTAGAGATTAATTTGCACTATTGAATTGAAATTAAAACAAACAAACAAAAAAAAAAAAAAAGAAGACGACATACCCATCCAATCAATCCAGGGCGCAACTCACAAAAGTATTTGAGATCAAAAGTACCAATTCGAGGATTTAATTCACGGCCAATGAAGAAATCATAGACAGCATTTCCTGAGGAGGGAAAAGTTTTTACCCAAACAATGTTCCAAACCCAGTCAAGAGACTTAACAATGCTCTGTTGCCTACTATCTAGCAGTCAAAATTCAACTGCCTAGCAGAGCCTCAGAAAAGTTCTGTCAGTATGAGGGAATGACGCTAAGGAAGCCTAGTGATGCTGGCCCCATCAGAAAGGAAAGTTACTATACACTTTGGAGACCCAGATGACTAGGATCCCCCAATTTTAAGGGAACTGAAGTTTTGTGAGGGATTTTTGCTGTTGTCGTTTTTGTTTATTTTAATATAAAAATCATTTTTTAAATAAGCAACTTTGGGGGCTGGCAGGTGGTGTGGTGGTTGAGGGCGCTGGAATCCCGCGAGGCCAACTGTGGTTCAAGTCCCAGACCTGGCAGCTTGCTTTCTCACTCTCCCCCCCCCCCCTCACCCACCCACACACACACACACTCACTCTGTCCCTCTCTAGTCAAATTTAAATTAATTAATTAATTTAATTTAATTAAATAATTCTTTAAAAAATGATAATTTTTTTTTCCTAGAGGGCAAGGACACGTGCGCTTGCCAGCAAGAAAGAAAGCACTCCACGCGGGACATGGGCATGAGATCCCTTCTCCTCCAACACTCCCTCATTTCAAGACTGTGGGCACCCACGCACATTCCTGGCATGTTTCATAGGCCACTCGGTCCAGGACTCAAATCATGCAGTCGGCCATGTGGGTTCTGAATGCCTTAACCGCCAGACCACAGAACCAGCTGTGACTTTTTTTCTTAATGTTTAAATACTTTAGAGCAGAATCAACCAATTTGTGACCTCGGTTGTTTTGCTTTTGCTTTTTAAAAGTTCCTTACTATTTTGAGCAAAAAAATTATAGGTCATAAATTGTGACGCCAGTACATTTACCAAATACCCTACTATCAGGAAGTGGCTAAATCTGGAAGGAAAACAAATAAAGTATGAAGGAAAACAAAAGAAATATATTCTCCATTTAAATTCATTTTACTTCTTTTTTCTTCATCTTTTTACTTTCCTTCATTTCCTATAAAATGAAGCTAGGGAAAAAACCAATCTCCTCAAGCCTAGAAGTGGCTGCGCTACAGGGCTCTGAGATTCATTCATGGTGTGCAATTTGCCGTTACTCACCAGAACTGGCGGGTGAGAGTTCATCCCTGGGCGCCTTCAGAGAGCGTGCGTAGAGATAAACACTCAAAACCACAGAGAAAACAGTGGCGGCGAGTGCAAACTGCAGGAAGTGACTGTACACGTAAGAAAGCTCCACGCCCCAGAAGAGAGATGCTCCGACAACTGCAGATGTCAGGACGAAGGCATAGAATCCTTCGGAAAAAAAGAAAGTTAAAAAAAGTAACGTTAACCCAGGACACACCTGAGGTTTACACTGCTGTAAAAATGATACAATGCTATTTTTGAAGTCTTAATTTCATTATTCAGATTAAATATGCACAAGTATATAAATAAGCAATGTCCCTGAAGTATAAATCTTCAGTATAGATATCATTTCTCTTGTCATTTTTTTCAAATATTTTAACATACTTAAGTTATTCTTTTTCATTGAAAACCTGTCATTATCTCCATTTAGTTACGGGAAAGGTGAAAGGAAACATACAGAAATTCGCTAATTGCTAATAACCCAAAAAGAATCTCAAAATTCACATAATCAAATTCTCAGGTCTAAAAGTGGACCGAACACACATTTTAAAGTTAATACCATTGCCTAGTGGTAGGGTAATGTTGGTAGCTGTAAGCTTTTAAATATTTATACTTCTCAGTAATGGTTTCAAAAGATTCTAGTTCTATATTATCATCCAAAACATAGCTCTAAAGATCCAACCCTCGAACAAAGACCAGGCAGAGGACTGGGGTGGGGACTTTCACATACAACGCCAAATAAAGATGCTCCACAGAGGAATTCTTGCTCCAGGCCAGCCCTGCTACACTGACCAAGAGAGATACTAGAGATACTCCGTAGGCTATCTGTGGTTGGTGTGTTTTGAGTTTGGGTTAAAGAAATGGCTTTGCTTTTAGGACCTAAGTGCTTGAAAGGGCTGTGTCCTGAGTAAGTCACCAAATTATTACTATTTTTTTGAGGAAGAATTTTTTTTTTTTTTTTTTTTTTTTTTTTTTTAGGGCACATGGGTCCCCCAGAGGGA